CGAAAATTACTGAGCAGCAGGAATAGAACAAAGATATATAAAGGAAGCGATAAGAGTAGTAAGAAACAGGTAGTATTATTATGGTCTTTAAAGAGTGGCAAAGCGGAGATAACAGAATATGGTAGACAATATAAGCTGAGAAATGTAGACAAAGCAATAGTAAAAGAGTAACATCCAGTATATATAGAAAAAGTTACCCATGTCTTGCTTAACCTCGGATACAAATCCCTACAAACAGAAACCAATAAAAGTAATGATTAGTTTGCAACAGCCATCACAATGCATGAAAAGCAACGCAAGGTAGAACCAACAAATAATAAACACTTATTAATCGGTTAGATATTATACAAAATGGGAAAATTAAAGATACACGTGTCAAAGTAAAAGATTAATATAAATATCACCATATTTGGAGCATGACAAATATTATACATTTGTTTTAAAGGGATTTTTTTTTGCTTTACCAATATAATATGCGAATAACAAATTAGGAAGGAAAAAAACAAAACACCATACAAAAACAAACACAGATATAAAATAAATAACCCAACAGCCTAAAAAAAAAGTAATCGAAACATAGATTTAATAAACACAAACGAAATCATGGAAGAAAGACAAAAATATTTAACAAAATGAACTACGGACAAAACTAACAACCTAATGAAAGAAAAAGGCACCATGCATATACAACGAAAGCATGAAAATAAAATATAAAACATCTATGAATATATATATATATATATATATACAAACAAACAAAAAATACGAATAAACCTGGCGACGAAAGGAAAAGAAGGATCTAGAAGGTTGCAGAAAAAAGGAAAATAAGAAACGAAGAAATGTGGCAAAAAACCTAGAAAAATATACAGATCTAAAACATTGCAGGGAAGGGAACAAAATTTATACAAAAAAAAAATACAAATAAACCTGTCGAGCAAAGGAAAAGAATGATCTAGAAGGTTGTAGAAAGAAGGAAAATAGGAAACGAAGAAATGTGGCCAAAAACCTAGAAAAATATACAAATATAAAACATTGCAGGGAGGAAAATTTTTTTTTGACAAATATAGATCCAGAGACAAAAAAAAAAAAAAAACAAACGCAAATCTAGAAAATAATAAAAATGAACGAACCCAAAAAATAAACCTATTCCTCTTCAATCTAGCTACGGAAAAATAAAAACAAAAGTAGATCTAGAAAAGGAAGAAAAATTCTAAAAATGTAGCAAAATAAGGAACACGGCAAACAAAGAAATGTGGCCAAATTTTTAGAAAAATAAGTAGATCTAAAAGGTTGCAAGAAGGAAAAAAACCAAAGGAAGAAAATAGATTCAGGAGGAAAAAAAATCCCATTCTCAGTAAAAAAAAAGGGCGTTGAATATTACAGGAGCAAATCAACAGGAAACATAAACGGCAACAGGAAGAAATAATGAAAAAATGACCGAAATCAACAAACGAAAAAAGAAAAAGGCTAGATCTAAAAGGTTACGGAAGGGAAAAGAAGAAAAGGAGGAAAATAGATCCAAAAAAAAAAACCCCAATTTCAGTAAAAAAAAATGGAAGCTCAAGATTAGAGAAACAAATCAACGGAAAACATAAATGGCAACAGGAAGACATAACAAAAAGATGAGCGGAATCAACAAATGAAAAACGGGGATAAAAAAACCCTGGCTCAATTTTAGAGAAGAAGAATCCAGAAAACTTCGGAAGGAACCAGAAGGAAGCAGATGAAGGAGAGAGAGAGACAGAAACAAAAAAGAGTGAAAGAAAGTGAATAAAAGCAGAACAAACGAAATAAGCAAAACATCCAATAAATGACCAAAATGGTCACAGCAAATAAACGGGCAGGAAACTAGAAATGAGGGCAATATCGTAATTTTATAAATGGGACATAACGGTAATTAAAATTTCATCAGAAAAAAAAAAGCATGACTAAAACAGAAAAGACACTGTTCATTACACTGTAGCATGAACATTGAATCCCGCCCTCTTTTTTAGTATATGTATAATATATATATATATATATAAATAAATCGAGCAAAGGAAAAGAATGATCTAGAAGGTTGTAGAAAGAAGGAAAATAGGAAACGAAGAAATGTGGCCAAAAACCTAGAAAAATATACAAATATAAAACATTGCAGGGAGGAAAATTTTTTTTTGACAAATATAGATCCAGAGACAAAAAAAAAAAAAAAAACAAACGCAAATCTAGAAAATAATAAAAATGAACGAACCCAAAAAATAAACCTATTCCTCTTCAATCTAGCTACGGAAAAATAAAAACAAAAGTAGATCTAGAAAAGGAAGAAAAATTCTAAAAATGTAGCAAAATAAGGAACACGGCAAACAAAGAAATGTGGCCAAATTTTTAGAAAAATAAGTAGATCTAAAAGGTTGCAAGAAGGAAAAAAACCAAAGGAAGAAAATAGATTCAGGAGGAAAAAAAATCCCATTCTCAGTAAAAAAAAAGGGCGTTGAATATTACAGGAGCAAATCAACAGGAAACATAAACGGCAACAGGAAGAAATAATGAAAAAATGACCGAAATCAACAAACGAAAAAAGAAAAAGGCTAGATCTAAAAGGTTACGGAAGGGAAAAGAAGAAAAGGAGGAAAATAGATCCAAAAAAAAAAACCCCAATTTCAGTAAAAAAAAATGGAAGCTCAAGATTAGAGAAACAAATCAACGGAAAACATAAATGGCAACAGGAAGACATAACAAAAAGATGAGCGGAATCAACAAATGAAAAACGGGGATAAAAAAACCCTGGCTCAATTTTAGAGAAGAAGAATCCAGAAAACTTCGGAAGGAACCAGAAGGAAGCAGATGAAGGAGAGAGAGAGACAGAAACAAAAAAGAGTGAAAGAAAGTGAATAAAAGCAGAACAAACGAAATAAGCAAAACATCCAATAAATGACCAAAATGGTCACAGCAAATAAACGGGCAGGAAACTAGAAATGAGGGCAATATCGTAATTTTATAAATGGGACATAACGGTAATTAAAATTTCATCAGAAAAAAAAAAGCATGACTAAAACAGAAAAGACACTGTTCATTACACTGTAGCATGAACATTGAATCCCGCCCTCTTTTTTAGTATATGTATAATATATATATATATATATAAATAAATAAATCCTGTACTACAAAAATTTTTAACTTTTTGTATAATACAATAATATTTTCTACGGCAACGCGTGGGCTCTCAGCTAGTCTATTATCTAATTTCGTTTTCTGACGTGTCTCAGCATAAAAGAGGACAATTCTTCTGAAATGATGCAATACTACTGAACTGGCTCTTAGTATACGCAAGAAAGAATGCGTTGGTTCTGGAACGTCGTCGTTCTGCTGGCGATGGCGACTTTGCTGCTCATCGGAAATTCGCTGGAGAGAGCCGTAGCCTCGAATTCAGCGTCAGCGTTCGTGCACGACACAATCTACTCCAACAAGATCGCCATCTTCTCCAAGTCCTACTGTCCGTACGACACTCGCTCTTCTCTGTTTTTTTTTTTTTTTTGAAAAATATGGTTAATTAATGTGATTGATTAATTATACTATTTCCTCGCGAACTATTGAATATGTACTGATAAATTTTGCAAAAACGATCGAGCCTTTGGATGGGTGGAATTAGGGATTTTTTAACTGAAATATAAGTTTCTGTTGGTTGCTTTGTGTAAGATTTGGATTCGACATGTTTCTTTGGTATCTGTTCCTGTTTTCGGGGGGGGGGGGGGGGGGGGGAAGAAAACGGATTGAGAATCTCTGTGAAACATTTTGGGTATTTGGCACATCTGCAGGTGCTTTTTGTTGCAAAGTACTTCAAATCGATGACGGCCATAAAAACAGAAGAAAAAAGAAAACCGAACACGTTATGTGAGCTCGTTTGAAGGCGAAGCTAAAATTTCAAAGGAAAATTGAAGCATGCACCCACGTCACGTGCACGTGGGTGTTTTCTTCTAAATTTTAGCAATATTCATTGATTTTGAAATAATATGCAGTTTATTAAATTCGAGGAATAATTTTCCTCAATTATAAAGTTTATAGGGAACAGACCAATTCAGTCAAAGTTTAGAGGGAGCGAAAGCGCCAGAAAAAACCACAACAATTTTCTTGTGGTAGAGTAAAGACCCATTTACAACGGTGTAATTCAAGAGTTGCTTTGAAGTTTCATGAGTTTTCATGAACAGAAGCTATATTTATTGGTGTAAAAACAACTAAAACCTCTATTTTTTTTTTCGATCAAGGAAATGAACGGCGAATTTTGGATTTTGGATTTTGGACCTTGTTGGCTTATTTAGCATATGTGGTTAAGCAGTCAAACATAGAGGTAAATCATGCATTTAATGTTAAATGCAAATGCAATATGCCTCTTGATTTCTTAATTAAGAACTGACCTTGTTATTTGACTTATTATTAGCTGTAGTTTACTGGATATTCTTTTCTTTCTTTTCTTTTTTGAAGTTAAGGTGGGGGATAATTTGATCACTAAATCTAAAAGTCAGAAGTAAGTGTAGAGTTATTCTTAGGCTAAGCCTGCAACCACAATCGATACACTTTGTGACGTGTGCAATGAGCTAAAAATTCCCAGGAATCACTAGAAACAAAAGATTATTTGTCCAATTCTCTGTCTGCGATTTGGATTATTCTCTCTTTGCCTGTGTTTTGGCATGATTCTTTGGTTTATTTAAGGGATGTTAAACAATAAAGTTGTTGGTTATTGTTTTGATAGGTATTGCCTGCGTGCCAAGCGCATATTCAGTGAACTGCATCAGCAACCTTTTGTTGTCGAGCTTGATCTTCGAGGTATGTCTGTCCATGGTTGTTTTAAGTGCCTGCTTTTCTTATGAAAATGTTTCGTAATGGCTCTAAGTGATTCACATGTGTAGATGATGGGGCTCAAATTCAGAACGTTCTTCTAGATCTAGTAGGCCGACAAACTGTTCCACAAATATTTGTGAATGGGAAGCATATTGGTGGCTCGGATGGTTAGCTCTCGCTTTAGTGTGTGATTATAATGTTTTCACTTCATTTAGCCTGTCATTGGTCTCTTCAGTTTATATTGTTTGCTGTTCTCTTTTTTATTTCAGATCTCAAAGCAGCAGTTTTGAACGGCGAGTTACAGAAACTTCTTACCACAAGTTGATGATGCTGGAAAATTAAGAGGCTTAAGCATCCAATCTGCATCTGCAAAAAGGGTGGTTTAAGTATGTTGCTATGACTTGATATTGGTTGATTTTGTAGTGATCTTCTATCCACTTTAGCTCAATGATAGCAACATTTCGGTGTCGATGTTGTTTGGACTTTTGGATTTCCTCAAATCTGGTAGAAAGCTCAACCTTAAGTGTTTCCCTGTCATTAACCTGTGTACATTTTGATTGTGGGATTGTGTTGATTATTCTTGTCTTCTGCTAGGCTACATTTGTACATTGTTTATGTAATTTTGGCATGCTGTATATACGAGCGGCATATCGTATGACGTATATTTCTACTTTTTGTCCTTGTTTTGCTCATCCATTCAATTCAAAAGTCTACCTTTTTTTTAATTGGCATAAATGTGTGCTGGGTTTCTGTTGAGATTTCCGAATCAATTAGGGAAGATTCCTAGGAATTATCCCTGATATTTTGTGTATAAATTAGGAGAAGAATCCGGTGTTACTTACAAGATTCTAATTTTATATTTTCCTAGTTTAGTGGGTTTGTTTCCTTATTTAGTTACAGTCTAAGATTAGTCAAAGTTTTCCTACTTGTATATATGTGTGTACCGGCTGATTCAAGGAATAAGAATTGATATTCATTCTTCTCAATAATTTAAAGTTTCTATAATTCCAGTTCATATTGTCTTCAAGAGATCTTCACTTCCTTTGTCTTCTCGATGGCATTGTTGTGTATTTTGCCCGTTGTATCACTTTTGGTATTATAAAACTTTCATTAGTGCTCCACCCTTCTCATTTTGATACCAAACGCCTAAAATTGTTAAAGAATTGATTTAGAACACCTGATAATTGTCGGCAGATCAAATCGGGTAAATCCATGTGGAAGATTTTGAATATTCAAATATTTCCTTATCTACTTCTATTGATTATCCCGGTTTGTTAGGATTAGAGATTTAGTCAATAAAATCTAATTTGATTATTAAAAATCAAATCAGATTCTTATTAGGATATCTTCTTTTATTCGGGTAAGTTAGTTCCTTGGCTGCCTATTTAAATGTATTTCCGCTACAATGAATAATATTGCAGATAATTTTCTTTTCAAGTCTGCTTTCATGGTATCAGAGCCACTCTCTGAACCTTAATACTCTTTGCCAACCGTGATGACAAAATACGGAATGGCTGGCGGGAAAGAAACCTCATCATCAGAGGTTACCTCTGCCTCATCAGGGACTGCTAATCCGATTCAGATCAGTGGATTTGAAGCCCCGTTTCAGCAAATCACGAGTCACAAATTTAATGGACAGAATTTCGCCCAATGGTCATATTCGGTAATGATGTTCATAGAAGGAAAAGGAAAAGAAGACTATCTTACCGGTGATGTTGCACAACCGAATGAGAAAGATCCCAAGTTTAAAACATGGAAAACAGAAAACAACATGGTTCGGTCATGGCTGATTAACTCCATGAATGCTGAGATGGGAGAAAACTTTATGTATTACAAAACAGCGAAAGAGATGTGGGACTCAGTGAAGAGAAGTTATTCTAACAGGGAGCATACTTCAGAGATTTTCAGGCTCAAAGGCATTCTGAACGATCTTCGCCAAGGAGAACTCAGTGTAACCGAATATTTTCATTCTTTATCACGTCATTGGCAGCAACTTGATATTCTTGACGAAACTACATGGCATTGTGCCCAGGATCATAAGCGGTACAAGGAAATTCTGGAGAGAGATAGGGTTTACAAATTCTTACTTGGCCTGAATAAAACCCTAGATGATGTTCGTGAAAGGATCTTAAGCACAAAGCCCCTGCCAGATGTTCGTGTAGTATTTTCAGAAGTGAAGCAAGAAGAGAGCCGAAAAAAATTAATGCTAGGAACCCCCAATGATGCCGTGACTCCAACGTTTAATGATGCTGGAAATTCAACCATGGACACTTCTGAATGAGAATCAACAAAGAAGAAACCGGCCTTGGTGTGATCATTGCAGGAAATCCGGACATACCAAAGATACTTGTTGGAAAATTCATGGGAAACCAGCAAACTGGACCCCTCGGAAGCAGAATGAAGGAAGAGGTTTTCAAGCCACCCAAGACAAGCATGGAATGGAAGCCTCTACACAACAACAGGCTGCAGAATCATCAATTTCACTGACCAAGGAGTAGCTAGAGCAACTTTATCGTCTTCTCACTCCAACACCTACATCATCTAAGCCAATTTCTAATGTAGGGTTATGCACCACGACACATAATGGTAACCATTCAGCCTTGATCTCATCACTTCATACCCAGGAACCGTGGATCATTGATTCCGGTGCCTCTGACCATATGACAGGTTGTTTCAAACACTTCTCTTCCTACACTCAATGCTCTAGTAATGTTAAAATTAAGATTGCCGATGGGTCTCTAGCTACTATTTCTGGAATAGGTTCAGTACAAATCTCAAAAAATCTTATTCTTCATTCTGTCCTACATGTTCCAGCTTTAAAGTGCAATTTGCTGTCCATTAGTAAACTCACCCATGACAATAACTGTGTGGTTAATTTTCACTTTTCTATGTGCCAATTTTAGGACCTATCATCGGGGAAGACGATTGGCAGTGTGAGAGCCTATGAGGGACTTTATTTTCTTGACAAATCTGAGAGTCGACAAGCACATGTGTCTGGAGTATCATTTGTTTCGGTTTCCAATGATAAAGAAATAATGTTGTGGCATCATAGACTTGGCCACCTTAGTTTTTCCTATTTAAAGTTTTTGTTACCAGACCTATTCAAGAATAAAAATACTATTTCATTTGATTGTGATATTTGTCAATTTGCGAAGCATACACGTATACCTTTTTCACCAAAACCATATGCACCCTCTATGCCTTTCTCCTTGATTCACAATGATATATGGGGCCCTTCTAGAGTAACAACCTTGAATGGAAAACGATGGTTCATCACATTTATGGATGACCATACACGGGTAACATGGGTTTATTTGCTTAAGGAAAAATTGGACACCAACCAAATCTTCCAAACCCTCCACAAAATGGTTCAAACTCAATTTCAGAGAAAGATTTTCGTTTTAAGGACCGATAATGGTGGTGAATATTTTCAGTCCACTTTGGGTAATTATCTTGGCCAGCATGGAATCATTCACCAAAGTTCTTGTACTGAAACACCACAGCAGAATGGAATCTCAGAAAGAAAGAATCGACATTTACTGGAAGTGGCTCGTGCCCTCATGTTCACTATGAATGTACCCAAATATCTGTGGGGTGATGTCATTTTAACCGCATCATTTATCATCAATAGATTACCAAGCTGCCCTCTCAAGTTTCAAACCCCATTATTCGTTCTTACAACCCAAGTTCCACACTTCAATATCCTCACAAATAACCTCCCTCTAAAAACCTTTGGTTGTACTGCATTTGTCCACGTCCATTCCCAACATCGTTCCAAACTTGAACCCCGAGCCATAAAAACCATCTTCCTTGGATATTCTCCAACAAAAAAGGGGTATCGTTGTTTTTGCCCCCAAACAAAAAAATATTTTGTTACCCGAGATGTTACCTTCTTTGAAGAGGTCCCTTATTATCCCCACACTCCGCTTCAGGGGGAGAGTAATGATAAAGAAGCTTATGTGTGGGAATGGGATGTTACAGCCACAGTTGAAGAAACTCCACCATTATCTTTGGCCCCACATTCAGCCCCGATTGTCGAGATTCCAGTTTTAGCCCAAACCGAAACTGAAGTTGAAGCTCCTCAGCCACTACAGTCATCCCTGCCGTGTTTACAGCCACTCCAGCAGTCACAACCACAGCCGAAATTGCAAGTCTACTCTCGGAGGAAGAACTTTCAAGAAAATAAACAACTCATAGGCACGGTGGACTGCCCTGAATCCGAACCTATGGTGGGTTCTAATCCTTCATCCCCAGGTAATCCCGAAACTCTCCTTGATAGACTAGATGATCCTATTGCTCTAAGGAAAGGTGTTAGGACATGTACAAAACATCCGATTTCCAAATTTGTGTCATATGATAATCTATCACCCTCGTTTCGTGCGTTCACAACAAATCTTTCTAGAATTGATATTCCCAGGACGATTGACGAAGCTCTAGCTGTCCCAGAATGGAAGAATGCGGTCCTAGAAGAGATGCGTGCCCTTGAGAAGAACAATACTTGGAGCTTGGTAGAACTACCGCAAAACAAGAGAGTAGTGGGATGTAAGTGGGTGTTCACAGTGAAAGTAAAGCCTGATGGTTCAGTAGAGCGGTACAAAGCCCGATTGGTAGCAAAAGGCTTCACACAAACCTATGGGATAGACTACACAGAGACGTTTGCTCCAGTTGCAAAGCTTAACACTGTCCGGGTTCTCTTATCTTTAGCAGCAAATATGGATTGGCCTCTTTATCAACTTGATGTAAAGAATGCTTTTCTGAATGGAGAGCTAGAAGAAGAAGTATAAATGAGTCTTCCACCCGGTTTCTATAAGAGCAGACGGGACAATATAGTGTGTAAGTTGAATAAGTCTCTATATGGTTTAAAACAGTCACCGAGGGCGTGGTTTGAAAGATTCTCTAAAGTAATCAAAGGTCATGGGTATGTACAAGGACAATCAGATCACACTCTCTTTGTCAAACACTCTACAAACAGCAAGGTTACGATTTTGATTGTGTATGTGGACGACATAATTTTGACTGGGGATGACTTTCAAGAGATACAAGAGATTAAGAAGATTATGGCAAGGGAATTTGAGATCAAGGACCTAGGATTCATGAAATATTTTCTAGGAATGGAGGTTGCAAGAAGTAAAGATGGGATCTCCATATCACAAAGAAAGTACACGATGGATTTATTAGAAGAGACACGAATGCTCGGTTGCAAGCCTGTAGACAACCCCAATTGAACCGAGAGGGAGGAGGAATGTAGGTGATGGAAATCAGGTGGACACAAGTAGATATCAGAGGCTTGTGGGAAGACTGATCTATCTCTCACACACTAGACCGGACATAGCATTTGCGGTCAGTGTGGTAAGCCAATACATGCATTCACCACACCAAAAACACCTTGATATAGTCTATCGAATATTAAGGTATCTCAAGAAGAATCCAGGGAGAAGACTATTCTTCCAGAAGAACGAAGATAGGAAAGTAAAAATCTACACGGATGCAGATTGGGCAGGCTCTGAAGAAGATAGGAGGTCAACATCAGTGTATTGTACTCAGCTTTGGGGAAACCTAGTGACTTGGCGTAGCAAGAAACAGGCAGTAGTTGCAAGAAGCAGTGCTGAGGCTGAATATAGAGCTATGGCTCAAGGCATTTGTGAGGCAATATGGATAAAATGACTACTGGGAGAATTAAGAATTGATGGTGAGTTTCCTATGCAGCTCTATTGCGATAATAAGGCTACGATTAGCATAGCACATAACCCAGTTCATCATGACATAACTAAACATGTGGAGGTGGATAGGCATTTTATTACAGAAAAGATCGAGAGTGGAATAATAAGTGTTGGATACATCCCTACAAAGCAACAAGTGGCAGATATTCTAACTAAAGGACTGCACGGACCAGCATTTGAAGAGTTAGTAAGCAAGCTCGGACTCATAGACATTTACGTCCAAGCTTGAGGGGGCGTGTCGGCAGATCAAATTAATTTGATTGGGTAAATCAATGTGGAAGATTTTGAATATTCAAATCTTTCCTTATCTACTTCTATTGATTATCCCGGTTTGTTAGGATTAGAGATTTACTCAATAAAATCTGATTTGATTATTAAAAATCAAATCAGATTCTTATTAGGATATCTTCTTTTATTCGGGTAAGCTAGTTCCTTGGCTGCCTATTTAAATGTATTTCCGCTACAATGAATAATATTGCAGATAATTTTCTTTTCAAGTCTGCTTTCAATAATCAATCCCCAAATGGTCCATAATCATTTAGAAATCTACAAGAAGATAATAATAGAAAAAAATTCCCAAGACGTACCAAATTAACTTGTTCTGTAGTACTTACTTTCTCTTTCAATCATCATCCCCCCAATAAAAAGAAAACCCCAAAAAAGAAAAACACAACCTGCACAAACCAATAAAAGAATAAACTTAAAAAGGAGGACCTGCTCTCAGACCATGGTACTTTCTGTGCATGGCCGGAGCCATACAAGAGAATATTGAAGCTCTTTGCTTCTTCTTCTTCACACCAAATATAAACGATCTCAAAGGCACACGAGACCTACTCTCTGTGTGGCTCAAGTGAGGATCATTCTGTTTCTTTGAGCCAGCCAAACTGAACTCCTCATTCAACTTTGCCAGAGTCCTCTCCACATCAATCTGCATCGTTGTGACATGATCCAAACCCGCCTGCAACTCATCAGCCACCTTATTGTTCTCTTGTTTCATGTTTAAAACCTCTCCTTGAAACTTAGCGGCTTGGTAGCTCGTGAACTTGAAGTCATCGTCCTCTGCACTGGCCTTCAGAGCCTTAGTTATCTCCTCTTGGATGTCACACAATGATGAGAATCTGCATTGAAGTTCTTCCTTCAGAAGTGCACTCTTCTCGGACCAGACTGATAGCTCAGTCTGTATCTCCCTCAGGTGCTTGTACAATGGCCTTGCATCAGATTTGAACAGGTTCTGGAGTGTGTTACTGTTTCCATCTTGGTTCTTTCTTTTTTCTTCCAGTTTTGTTATCTCAGATTTCAAGTCCTGGACTTCCGTATTGAATTTCTGGATTTGATGGAATGAGCTGCTGAATCTCAACCAGAAATCTAGGTTCTGCTCAAGAAGTTCGTCTATGCTCATGCGGAATTTTTCCTCTGTTGCTGTCATCGTTGGTGTTTGGTCAGTGACAATTGCCTTGATGTCTTCTTTGTCTTCCTCCTCTTCTTCTGCTGGGGGTATGGTTTTTGTGTCTAATATTTTGACATCTTTGTCCTTGTTTTCGATGTTTAGAGTCTCTTCAAGAAAACCGAGTTTTAAGCGCAGTGTTCTGATCTCGTCATCTTTCCTGGCATTAGCACTATTTAGTTCCTTCAGCTGCAATGATATTTCAAAGAGGTTGTCTCTACTTTTCTTCTCAACTTCACCTAGCTTCTTTTTCACATCCTTGTAATTTCTAAGAGTTGATGTATATTCTGTCAACAGAATCTTTTGTCTGTCCTCTATTCCACTCATAAACAGCTTCTGCCAATCTGGTTCTTCTTCTTCTTCTTCTTCTTCTTCTCTTGGCTGTTCCTTTGGTTTGACATCGATTGAGTTTAATTGGGTTTGCTTATTATCTTCGACAAGCAGTTTCTGATCTCCTTGGGATTGAGAAACTTCTTTTTGTTGCTCACAATCATAAGTACTAAGAACTCCAGTGGCTTTTGTAGAATCATCACCTGTTTTTTTTCTGTCATCTTCTTCTTTCGTCTCTTCTGACAATCTTTCCTCACTTGGAGATTCCCTCTCTTTCTGCAAAGAACCTGTAACCTTCATTTCGTCACATGATTTTACATTCTGCATTTTCTCGAACTCGTCAAAAGGATTTCTTTTGCTTGAAAAACCGTCAAAAGGATTCACAATGTCTTCTTGTGCCTCAAGATGTTTCTGCAAATTGGCTTCTTTGACTGAGCCTGATTCTGTTTCTGATGAACCTGTGATATTAAGCTCCTCATCTGGCTTCACACTTTGTAGTTTATCAGAAAGGTGATCGAGATTACAGCGTGCTTCAGTAAAATGTGTTTGGAGATTGTTGTTCTGTTCTTTAAAACTTTGGTTGAGAACCTGAATTCCATCAAACTTTTCCTCCATTTCCTTAAGCTTGTTGCTTAAATTTTTCTTCCCATCAATTAGAGTTGCCTTGTCACTTTCCAAGGTTCGAATTTGGGCTTGAAGCTCATCGGTTTCGCTTTTTAGTCTCTTCACAAGAGCAGCTTGTGATGACACTGCAGTTTCTAAGCTGATCACTTTGTTCACAAGTTCATCAATCTTCTCCACCATTTCTGTCACCGTGAGAGACGTGTTTGACTTGCCCTCAAACTGCTCCTTGATTTTGTCTCGCAACGATTCCAGCTCCTGTCTCTCTTTTGTTTCACTAATCGCCTCTTCATCTAAGTCATTTAGGACTTCTACTTCTTTCTTAGATTCATCTCTTGTGAAAGGATTTTCCTTGTTGATCTGATTGTATTGGAACTCACCCTTGAGAGACTCCAACCTATCCTTGGTGTCCCTTATCCTTCGGGATTCAACTATGGCTTCCTCTGTTGATCTATCCTGTTCCTCTTGCAACTGCGCTAATCTCTCTTGGCATGATTTTATAGCTGCTTCTGCCATCAGATTCCTCGCCTCGTCATCTTCAATGACCATTCCCTCACCAAATTCATCTTGCAAACTGCATACTCTTTCTTGCAATTCCTTGATCTGGTTCTCAATCTCCCAGTATTTTGCAAGACCATTCTCATAAGAACTCTTTACAAACTCTTTCTCAGTTTGTAGGGCTAGGATCTGTTTCTGAAGCCTGTCGATCTCTTCTAGTGCCTCAGATTTTTTAAGACCCGATTTAGAAACTATTGCGGTAGTTCCTGCTTTTGTCGTCCTTTTTGGTAGCAACTTTTTTGTAGCTGATGCTGTTGTGATGATACTCTTCAACTCTTTGAAAGGACCCTTTGGAACCTTTGGGATATTTGATTTCGAACCTTCCGAAACCTTTTTTGGAACCCGAGCTTTGGCATCTTCATCCTCTTCATCCATCGCAAACTGAACTTGTTCCGGGAAAACAGAAGCAATTGTGGTGTTGGCGTTTTGCAGCTCTGTTGAAATGTGATCATACCGCTCGGCCAAGGCCCGATAAGCTCTGTAGGATTCCTCCACAAAGTTTATCAGCTCCGGTCTCTTTTTGTAGTACATTTCTGCTCTCTTGGCAAAGGAATCTCCATCCTCTTCAATGAGTTTAAGTACAGTTTGCACCTTTTCCTCCATATCTGCAATTCCCATACATTTTGTTAGTGTTTCTTTCCTACGAAAACAGATACCGCAGTGAATTCCATAACTCAAATTTATGAAGATCATAAATATTGCTTTTGAATTCTTTCTGATAAGGAGTTTAGTGAGCTTTTGTTTTCAGACCTTGTTAGAGACTGGTAATCTTTTTTATAGTTTTCTCGGTTTTACTTGTGGTTTTTTTTTTTTTTTTTTTCCCCCTGAATTTTGCTAGGAATATTTACGTTGCCGTAATCCTTTTTTATCTCATAATAATATATATATTTTTTCTCTCGTTTCTTTAAAAAAAGAAAAAATATGAAGGTCATAGGGTTGAATTGCTTTCAAATATTTGTATATTGATCAGACCACAGCTACGTGACAAGAAAAAATTGTCACCGTCTACTTTCATTATTGAAGTGATGAAGTCCAATTACTTCCAATTTTTGTAAAACCAGTTGCCTTCAGAAAATGGCAAATGAGAATATGTGAAACTGAGATAACTTATTTACGTTTTAGAATACAGGAAGACGTTATGGACAATTTGTCAATACTCAAAATTACAAATCAGTAAATGTACTAAATTAAACATACACCATCCTGTAATATGGAGATCCACAACAAAATAAAAAAATAAATAATAAATAATAAGAATGGATAAGAATAATAAAAAATAAGCAGCTAATCTTACGAACACGATTTCAGATTCTGGGAAGTCCTAAAATGATAGGAAAAAAAGAAAACCAGATTCAGAATGAGCGGAATCAAACGTATCAAATATAGTATGAGGAAATCACATATCATATATCATATATCTATAATAAGCCTGGATCAGACCTATATATAACAGGATGGTAATAAGAAACTGATTTAGACATCAAAAAGTGTCCTAGTCCGGGCAGAAAGTTTTTGAAGCTTTGTGATAGAGACAAACAAATTAGATATTGATCAGTCAAAGAAATCACAAACAGCAGCAAATGGCTAAGGAAATATGACTCAAATCTTACCATCCACCCCAAAAACTTGAAATTATATTCCATTTTGTAGATGTTTATAAGAACAAAACCCGATATTCTTTTATGGAAATAAATAAATTACCTTGGAGGTTTTGCTCAAGCCATTTCGATTGCTTGGTTCTGATGTGGCTTGCCCACCACCATGAATATGCATTGCTTGCAGCTCTCTGCAACATTTTTTTTTTTTACTTCTTGTAAATTCTCTATTCTCTCTCTTCTCTCTATATTTGCAACAAAATCATGCAAAATTCTTGTCCCTTGCCTTTCTATTTACACCAAAAGACATGCAATTCTCTCTCTCTCTCTCTCTCTCTCTCTCTCTATGCAAAGAAAAGAGGAATGTGCCACCAAGTTTTTCTAATAATTGGATCATGGAGGGGAGCAAACTCCGGCCGAATTTTTTGTCAAAGCTTTCCTTTTCCTTTTCATAAAGCTAAGAAAGTTCCTATTAAAGAAAAAGAAAATACATGCAAAGATGAACCGTAAAAGAAAATGAAGAATGAAAAGGTCATTCAGTGGGGTATTTCCACGTGGATATTGCCTTTTATTTTTTTAAACTTTTTCCAGGTTGTGAAGAGCTCAACACCTCCTTTTTTTGGTTCCCCACTTTTCTTTTTCTTTTTCCTTTTATTTTATTTAATTATCAGTTAAACAGTTAAAAAACAAACATATTAGTTTGTATAAAGTGTAAACTTGGTACAAGTAACCGACTTTTAAGGTTATTTTTATAGTAAATACTAATACGAATGGTATATTTAGCATAAAAAAATATAGTATGATATGTTATTTTTTATTTCAATGTATAATGTTATTTAAAATGTTAAATTTACTTTCTCTTATAATCATTAAGTTTTAAAAGTTGTAAAAGTAAATTTTTATTTTTAAAATAGTTAGAAAATACAAAAGTTAAAATGATTACATAAAAAAGTAAACGTTTTAACAAATAACAATTAAATGTCAAAATTTTCATTTGTCATATTTGGTGAAAAATTTACCACAAAATATAGTATCTAAAAAATTTAACACAATAAATAGTATTATATTAGAGAGTATTTTTTACACTCAAATATTAAATTTATAATTGATATATTAATTATATAATTACAGATGCTCTAAGTTTTCTGATGAAGTAGGGAATAACAAAAGTTACATGTTTAAAGAAATAAGAACATACCGTAAAAAAAAATTAAAAATTTTAAAAAATAACAAATAAAGAAAACTTCTAGCAGAAAAATTATATAAAGAAAACATATGAGAAAGATAAATGCAATATCACCATTTATTTTTGGCTGTAAAATAGGTTCATATTTAGTGCCTCTATTTATAAAACAAGAATTATTTATTTATAGAACAAGAATTATAAATAAAAGAGAAACCAGTTATACGTAACATATAAGGCACTGATATTTATCCCGAACGAGATAAACACACGATGTTGTTGTCTTTGTTTAACACACAGCTTATTGTCAGGGTACGTGGAAAGTTTAATTATAGATTTATCCGCACCTTTTTTTCTTAAATTATAATAATTAAAAAAACCGTTCCGTTCATCATCATCCCTAATCCCCATTATTGCAAACACCAAAAAAAAAAAAAACCACCCACATCTCTGCACCAAGAACAAAAACGAACAGAAAGTTTTCAAAACAGAAAACTTTCTCTGATGTGGTTTTAGATGATTGTGCTGCGCTAATCTCTGCGACGGAATCGTCCTTGAAAAGAAAGCAAAACAGTACCAAAAAAAAAAAAAAATCAAAGCGGACAATACGAATAAAAGAAAGAAAACAAACAAGCAACTCTTGTATTTTTAAGAGAAAATTGCAGCTTTTTAACCATCCAGTTAAGTATCTCTTTTAAAAAATTTATCATTTGATTATTTTTAATTTTAAAAATAAAAAATATATAAGCTAATAATAAGAGTAGAAATAAAAAGAGTTTCATTTTAAAGAGTATTTTATTTTTTTTAAAAATGTCCAATTTTTTAATTTAAAAAATAATAAAAAAAGACAAGTTGACAAAATACGTGAGACCGTGGAATGAATTACTCGAGATACAAAGTATTTCTGTTATATAAATTATATAGATCTCGTTTATTTTATCAATTTGAGTTTTTAATTCTAAGTTTCTATTGTTAAAAACTCTCAGAAAATGTCACATTTAACTCTTTCTGTTACAGTCAAAAGCTCAAGAAAAATGTCACATTTCAACTCGAATTGAAAACTCGATTCACAAAGCGAACGAGATTATAGAATATAAAGATGTGAAGTATGAGATAATAATAAGATCCAAATATGGAAAATATGTTTACAGTAAGAATCATATGCTATTCAGCAAAACTAAATAAATAAATAAGAATAATATGCTTTAGGCATCACTAATAACACACGGGGCACACCATTTTAATTAAGGGTGACAATTCGTGTTAGTGAGTCGTATTTGTGTCAATCCGTTTATTAATCGTATTAGAAAATATCAATCCAAACACGACATGTTTATTAAATGTGTTAAAAATGTCAACCCAAATACAACCAATTTATTAATCATGTTAATCGTGTCAACCCATATAACCCGTTTAAATTAATATGTTGAATAAATAACTAATATAATAATGACTTATTTAATACGGTCAAGACATGTTTAACACATTTATTGGTCAATTTATCTTTTCTTTTAAGAAAAATAAATAAATTTTACCTGCAAATATTAAAATTCACATTCTTTGTATTTAATATGTCATATAAACTTTCATGTTATATAACATATTATTAGATTGCTAATGACACATATAGTCAATTCATGTCAATTCGTGTCACTTCGTGTTAAGAAGTCAATCATAATCTAACTCATTTATTAATTGTGATAATCGCGTCTTATAACCCAAATTCATTTATAATAAATTCAAACCTATTAACTTTGTATGGTTTCAAATCATATCATCAAATCACTATCCGATTGTCAACCCTAATTTTAATAAGAGTGCTCGTGTGTAAAGCTTAGGCGCCCAAATAAGTTGCACGTCCAGGACAGGTGTTTCTGTTATTCTTGGAGGGACTTGGAAACATGCACTTTTTGGACTCACTTTTTATTTCACTTTCTGGATGTGGCAAATATGCCGCCCACTGTTCACATAAGCGCAATTGCGCTATTGTGTTTTTTTTTTTTTTTCTTCTTTTTTTTGCTTTTGTTAATTTAGAAGTTCACTTGCATTTTTGATGTCCTAATTTTTACCCCAAGTTTAAAAACGTGGTCGAAATTGTTCCCTTTTTGCTACCAAAAAATAAAAATCTTCCTTTTGGTATCCTAGTTTTAAAAAATTTCAGTTTAATTTGAATATTTGTGAAAATAAACTAAATCAATATGTAATAATAAAAAATTAAATGACAATTCTAAAAATTCAAAATATTACCATAATTAGAATAAACTTATGCTAATATTAAATTAACGTAAAAGAACATAACATAAACTATAAAGTACAAAGACATAAAATAAACTTAATATAACATAAAAAAATCAATAATTTAGTAATCCGGTAGATTAGTTTCGGGTCCTCTAATATTATTGAAATATTAGCTAAAAGCATTCGGCGTATAAGATGCCCTTGGTGTTGTTGTTGTTGAGCTCTTTTTTGAATAATTCTGTTTGGTTGTAAGTCCGTGTTTAATTAAATAAATTTGTGTTTAATTAATATTATTAATTTATTATTTCTTTAAATAATATATTATTTTATTACATTTATATGTACTATAATGCGTAATTGGTTAAATAGATCAATTATTGATAATTATTATAGTAAGTAAAAAATGAATAACTAATTAGGGCTCGTTTAGTTCGTTGATTCGAGTTTTTAATTCGAGTTGAGATGTGATTTTATGTGAGAGCTTTTTACTGTAGCAAAAAAGTTAGATGTGATTGTTTATGAGAGCTTTTTACTGTAGCAAAACTCGAATTCTAAACTCGAATCAGCGAAATGAACGGGGCCTAAAAGTATTTCTTTTAGAGTAAAATTTGAAGTAAATGGTATGGAGATGAACTTTTTAGATGGCGAGAAATTATTATTATTTTTTAAGATAAAAAAACGTTAGAATAGAATAATAAGTTGAAGATGCCTTATAAGGATGAATACCATTTTTGTATTGCAGGAGGTAAAGGTACGATCTTGAGTGTACTGAATTTATTTATTTAGTAGGAAAAGACAGAGATGTATATAATTAGTTGTCTATTATACATATTGATAAACTATTACAGTTATTTCTTATAGTTGGATTAACAACTATTAGCCTCGCTGCACCTCAAATAAAAAATTATGTGTATTATTATTTTCAATGTTCTGATATCATTATAACGTGGGATTATGTAATTTTTTTCATAGCTGATTATGATTGTTTTGTTTCCTGATTTTCTCTTCGACTTAATTTGTTACATTAACTGTTCAGAAAATTTTAAAACCCGTAACTTAATTGTCTTTTAGACAAATGTCCTCTTCTCACTCCTGAATTTATTTAATAGATTATATTGAGTCATTACGTTATCTATCTATATTTGTTTTTACTGAGTTTGTCACTTACGTTACCATGGCTTTGTGTTGGATTCTTAATTTAATATTGAGTTTATACGTGAATAATTATATAGTGTAGATTGTCATATAAGATTAAATCTATTTAAAGTGGTCTATTAAGGTTTGGATAATTTAGGCTTTAATGTATCTAATAGGGTGTTGACTTTTAATGTGTAGAGACTAAAGGGCAATTTCTATTTTTATGATGAGTTAAAATAGAAATACTAAAAGATAACAGAGAAGTTATCTATATAAGTGGTTATGGTCCTCAAATCACATGTATTGTCATTCTATTCTTTTCTGGCATCCCATCATTAGAGAGAGAGCAAGAAAAAGTTATAGGATTTTTTAGGAGAACGTGTTGATTTGGAAGACCAACCGTACAACTCTAGAGAGTAATTTACTGTCATGAATTCAGGTACGCTTCCACTTATTATTCGGTTGATTCTTGGTGATTTAACATGAATGTTTCCCGGATTTTGTAAGATGTTTTACATCTAAGGATATTTTTTAATAAGTGGTATCAGAGCATCTTCACGTTGAATCATTGAAAATAAATTGTGGATGAAATTTTGATTGATGTATTCATATTTTTTTTATTTTCGGTTTAAAAAAAAGGGT